CCTCCTCATCTCACTTTGGCAGAGATGCGAGAAAATGTTCCTTCAATGTGAAATATTCTTCCTGCACTGGCAACAGGTAGTCCATTTCCTCTTAGCTGAGATTCTAGTTTTCTTTAGAAGATCATCTCAGATGCATCTCCTTTAAGAATTTTCCCAGTGGAAATTAACTAGTCCAACCTAAATCCTGTGTTCTATTATAACAGTTACCACATTCCACTTTAGAATATAGTTTGTTGTACATGTGCAGCACATGCTAACAATGTTTGTTTGCTGTAAGTCTAAATGAACAAATAAATGAAGGAGCAACCTAAGGGGACTTCAACAGACAATTAATGTCATAGCTAGTTTCAAAATGAGATGCCAGCACAGATCTCAGGAGGAAGACAGGGAAGTATTAAGGTTGATATGAATGAACTCAAATTGCCCATGTTGGCACCCAGCACCATGCAGTTACTCTAGAAGATGCAAAAGAACACCTTTTTTAAAAAAAAAAAAAAAAAAAAGTATGAATCACTAAAAAGTCTTTCTAGTACAAAAACATTTCTACCTGGAACATATTTCCGTTTTGCTTTTTTTGCCTTTATCTGAACTTTGCTTTTCCCCTTTAGTCCTCCTCCCTTAATTCATACTTACAGTGTCAAACACTCAAAACTGTATGGTCTATAGCACAAGCACCCTCCATAAAAACAGAACATGTAACCCCCACACACACACTTTCTCGAAAGTATCAGGTTTATATGATCAGACACATTTATTAACAGCTTGCTGAAGACACATTCTTCACAATTACAAACAAATTGCTAGGAATGAAGGAAGTACCATAGTAACCACTCTCACATTCTACATAATGGATTCAGGTCGGGTTTAGTTCGCAGGCACATTAAATGGCCAGAGGTGCAGGGGATGGTATTTTAGAAAAAAATGGCAAATTTTGCCACTGTTTTGTTGTGGTTTACTGCTTTGTATTTTGTCACAACAAACTATTTTGAAATATTTATGTGGTAGAAGGGCAAGAAATTTATCTTATTTAACTTATTTAACTTATACAGAGTGATTTAGGAAATAATATTGGAGTTATTATTCCCTCTCCTTGAGCACAGAGAATGTGACCCAGCTGGAGCTGGGCTCACAAGGACACATCAACTGGGCCCTGAGGTATAAAGACAATAGCTAAGATAATCTTGGAAAATATCTTTTAGGGAAACTTTCACATAAAGCCAATCAAACAGAAGACAAAGGACTTTCCACTCTTATCTTTTTCTATTAGTATTCAGTGAATAGAAATTTGTTGAACCAATGAAGACCCTCCTGATTCTTGCTACTGAAACCTGTACCAATGATTGTTAAGAAAGACAATTCAAAATGTAGGATCACAGTTTCTAGCCAATCTGAAAAAGCTAAGCTTTCAATGGTTTTGCCCATTTGTAATGTTAATATATACTGATGACTCTAATGGTTTTTTGGACTCGGGCAGACATGGCTGTGGCAGGATGCTTGTCCGTTTTCCCATTCTTGCCTATTCTGTAATGTTCTTTGGACTCGGGCAGACATGGCTCTAGCAGCATGCTTGTCTGTTTTCCCACTTTTGTCTGTTCTGTGATATTTCCTTGAACTTGGGCAGACGTGGCTCTGGCAGCATGGTTGTCTACTTCCCACTTCTGCTCTTTTTGAATATATGCCGAAGAAAACTTACTTTTTGCTTTACTAAACTTTGTGATGTTTTTCCCTTACAACAAGAGAAACAAGTGTAACTTCGGGTCCTTACTGCAACAATCTTGTTTAAAATAATGAAACAAATTAAGAGCAATAATAGGTACTACAACACTAAAAAATGACAGTTAAAATAAGAAGAGACAAACTATAAAAATCAAATACAAAAACTATAAAAATAAGGTAATTTGGAGCCATTTGATACAGGGGTTAACACGCCAAGCCAAGCTTAACAGCTACTCCAGACATTTCTTTATTATATCAAAGTACAACTAGTATTCAAACTGTCCCTCCTTAGATATCCCCCTAGTACTTAGTTTATATCCTATTTAAGGTACTTATTTATTTTGTCTCATGTGTATTTTTTTAACCTGGTCTTATCCCTACTGAAAAATTAAATCTCTTTGAAAACAAGTGCCATGGCCTCTTTGTTTTGGTATGCTAGGAGACTATGACCATAATAAATTACTGATAATTATGAGACTTAATTTCAATCTATTGCTGAAGACAAAACAATGGATATAAATATGTGATATAATTTTTAACAATATATAAGATTAGTTCCTTGCATCCATATGGATCACTATGAATGAAAAAATATTTTAAACTTGTTAGAATATAATCTTGTTTTTAAATCATTATTTTGCTTATAAATTAACAGGTACAATATACATTCCTTTGGGTTTGATTTAGGAGATGATATTGGAGCTATTGTTCCCTGTCCTAGAAGGCGACCCAGCTGGAGCTGGACTCACAAGGACACATCAACAGGGCCCTGAGGTATAAAGACAATAGCTAGGACAATCTTGGAAAACATCTTCTAGGGAATATTTCACATAAACAAATCATAAAACACAGCACAAAGGATCCACATACTTTCCACTCTTATCTTTATTAGTCTTTAGTGGATAGTAAGATTTGCTGGACCAATGAGGACCCTCCTGAATGTCATTACTGAAACATGTACCAGTGATTGTTAAGAAAGACAATTCAAAATGTAGGATCCCAGTTTCTAGCTAATCTGTGAAAAGGTGAAGAAGCTTTCAATGGTTTTGCCCATTGATAATGTTAATACATACTGATGACTTTGTAACGTTCCCTGGACTCAGACACGACTGTGGCAGCATGCTTGTCCGTTTTCCCACTTCTACTTATTCTGTAATATTTCCTTGGACTTGGGCAGATATGGCTCTAGCAGCATGCCTGTCCGGTTTCTCATTCTTCCCTGTTCTGTAATATTCCTCGGACTCGGGCAGATATGGCTATGGCAGCATGTTTGTCTGTTTTCCCATCTTTGCTTATTCTGTAATATTTCCTTGGATTTGGGCAGACATTAGCTCTGGCAGCATGTTGTCAGCTTCCCAGTTTTGCCTTTTTTGAACATATACCAAATAAAACTATCTTTTTGCTTTACTAAACTTTATGATGTTTTTATCCTACAACAGGTTAAATGTAATTTTTGTGATATTTTTACTTTCAAACATACCAAAAAGAAAAAATTGTAGAAACAATATCCATATATGCATCACCAATATTCACCAAATGTTAACATTATGCCATGTCTGTTTTATATACACACATGCACATATTAAGTTTGACTGAACCATTTGAAAATGAGTTACAGATATCACACCACCTAATCCCAAAACGTTTTATTCCAGCACACATCTCCTATAAAGAAATTCTCTTAGTAACTAAGCCTAATACCATTATTATACTTGAGAAAGTAAACAATAATTCCATAATAACAGCTATCACTGAAAGATTAAACTGTTTCCTTATACATTACTACATAAAAATAATTTCCAAATTATTACTTAAAAGAAAGAAAACACTGCAAAAATTTTTTTGGCTATTTTTAAAGCATATTTGCTGTAAAGCAGCAGTATCTTTTATAAAATATACTAAAACAATCTCTTAAAATATCATATGAAAATATTACTGTATTTTTATGCAAATAACACACACCTACATTTGTTTGCCAACTTTTTTTTTTACATGCTGCTGTAAAAAATAAAGCAGCACAGTGGCATTTATGAAAATACGGGGGTGGGAGGGCAGTTGGCAAACAAAAGTTGAAGGTGAGCATTATTTGCATAAAAATAAGGTACTTATGTTTTAAAGTTAGTCCTTTCTTCCCCATAATGTTAAAATCAGCGTTAACTGTACTGGCATTATAAATACCATTCTCTTCTACTTCCACTGTAAATGCAGCCCAAATTCTACACACAGGGGTATCTTTGCTCCAAAATATACACCAATGATACTTAAAAAAAAATTTAAGATTTTTTTTCATGGTAGAAGAAAATGTATTAAAATATCCTTAGTTTGTTGTGATTTGATTGAATTTTTTAGTATAATGCTGCTCCATATGTCCTGAAAGGAAAAATCCAGTTTGAACACAAAATGAGATAATACGATTATCTCTAAATTGTTTGACAGATGACTTAACCACAAGATTAACTGGTTTACTGTTTGCTTAATAATCTAGGAATCAAAGGCCAAACACCTATTTCAACAATAAAGACAATTAGCCTTTAGACTGTAACTCTAAAAAGAAAATGTAATGAGAAAAAGAACGCAAAATAAACAGTTGATATAATACATGAGATCACTAAAGTGAGTTCCAAACTATTAAAAAAAAAAACCCTGGCATCGAGTCAATTCGGACTTATAGCGACCCTATAGAACAAAGGAGAACTGCCCCACAGGGTTTCCAAGGAGCGGCTGGTGGATTCAAACTGCCAACAGTTTGGTTAGCAGCTGTAGCTCTTAACCACTGTGCCACCAGGGCTCCTCTAAACTATTAGGGGTACCAAAATGCTTAATAATAACCAACTGAATTGCCAGGTTTTAATATACTTTTGGGCTACTGGTTTCATGTCTGGAAAGAAGTTCTGTAAATGAAATTAACTGCTTTAAAAAGATCCACCAAAGCCCTTAGGGAAGGATGATTTACCTTTTTTCTTTGTCACACATTTCTAAAAATCTATCAAAATAATTTTCTCTCCCCCTTTTTCAATTAGTAGCTCTATCTTTATCCAAACTTCATAAAATTAATGAAATGACATTTAAGAAATTATTAGATTCATTTTTATAATATGCTCCTTTCTGAATCCAAGTTCTACTTTGCAAGAGCTCATTAAAATTATGTGACAAAAAAATCCAAAATTTTAAACATATGTAACTAGTATATTTTTATAATCAATTAACTGAGCTGTACGGTATGTTTAAAGTTTGAGATCTAAACAACAAATATCAACTGATGAGAGAGATCCAGGTTTACTTACATTTGTAATAGCTATAGCATTTTTATCGTAGTATTTCTTCTTTTCATATTTATCTCTGATGAAAAATTCCACCGCTCTGAAAACAGATAACTTAAGGAAAAGCTTGAATTCACTGAAATACATATTCACCTTTACTAACCCCTCTCCACAAAGCCTAGACTCTAAATTTAATTTTCCTACTCCCAAATCCATGCTTTCTCTCATACGATTTCTGCAACTAAATTCTGTAACCTACTTCTCTTTCAGGCAAAGGAGGACTACCTCTTTTTCAAGAAGTTTTCCCATTCAACAAAAATCACCCAATCCAATTCTAGAAGGAAAAGTAACTGACCACAATCCTCAATCCCACCCCACCTCCATCCCTCACCCTGCCAGCCAAACTCTAAATTCAATTCAGTCATATGGATTTTCAATATAAGAAACTAACATATATACACAGATCCACAATGTACTAGACAGACATTGTGTGCTATATGTTGTACATATTTCATTTCCTTTAATCTTCCCTAAACCCAGTATAGTGCATATTATGATTTTCACATTATAGACAAAGAATCAGAAACTTGGAAAGATTAAGCAATTGGCCTAAGGTAATATACCTACTGTGTAATTCCAAAGCCTAGGTTCTTTTCCACTATATATATACTGTCTCTGGGTGTATCATATAAGATTCTTTGTGTATTAGAAAAACGGTAGTCGATTTTTTCCTTGCTAAGCTGGGGAATGGTGAAGGCAAGAAACTAAAATCAAGGTCATTACTGTTTAATTTTTTTAAGTTGGTCAGACTAGCCTTATCCATTAACAGCATGAGCATCTTGTAATGAGATTTGAGAGTTCAGAGTTACTGAACATAAATGACTTCTGCTACACAATCATCATAGTAGAATCATACCATCAAAAATAAGAATTTTTCTGTCAGGGCCTCTTAACCTTTTTTAGTGCCACGAACCCCTGTTAGTCAGATTCCTTTCCAGCATAGTGCTTTTCAATACATAAAACACACAGAATTACAAAGGAAACAAATCATACTATAACACAAATATCTCTATGGATCCCCAGTGTTAAGGCATACTGTGTTCAAAACAAAAGTTGCCTGAAGTGATAAAAAAATAAATTTCCAGTCAACCATGTCTTATAAGTTAATAAGAGCCTTTTAAATTAACAGTCAAGGCAAAGGTAATAGAACACACTGACAAACAGTAGGTACTGGGAAGCTGAGGTATTATGAAAGCATTTGAAAAGAGGCCAGGAATGGTGAAAGGGGAGGCAAGAAGGACAGGAAATTTAGCCATTCAATTAATTAGGTAAACTGAATGATTAAAGCTATTTTTAAAACAGTTTTCCACAGTTTGAGTATGTAAAAGGTACTTCACATTACCTTCTTTTTTTCTTCTTAAGTGCCTATGAGGTAGGTGCCACTTCACAACTAAAACTGGGGCAGAGTTTAATAATGTTCTCTGGGATTCTACAGTAAAAGGGGGAGTTTTAATTCAAAACCAGGAAATTCTGACATCTAATTTTTCTGGGATGATGTTACTGATCATCATACATTAATGTGTGAATCAGTCAGTTAATCTCTGCTAATAATAATAAATGCTATAAAATCTAGAGAAGAGTGTCAATTACTGTATTGCTTTGAAGGGTGCCTTCATTTTCAAGTTACCCACGGAGGTTCTTTCAAGTAAAAGCCCCAGAGCTGCCTTAAAGGTGGCTTATTTAGATTTGTGAACATTTTGGCAGCTGATTTAATACCAAAAAATTAACTATAGATATGCCAAGATTTTCATAAAATGCAATAATGTTATTTTCCAAATTATTATTAAAACTGTTTCACATGTAAATCAGTTGAATGTTAAGTTTGCCTATGACTGTAAATGTGAGTTCAGTATTACATTTTTCTATTTTTCTAATAGGAAAAAATTTAAAAGCTGGCTGTTTAGATAAGGCGTCTGAATTTGTATATACTGAGCAATTATCATGTAGAGACAACTTTCTGCTTCCATAATAGGGGTGGGGAGAATTTACTCAGACTGATAACTGTTTTTACTTCAGATTATATGAAACACACTTCTGGTTTTTAAAACAAGTGTATAAATATAAAAAAAAAACAGTCATTAATTTTGACCACAGCTTTGCATTATATGCTAACTTTACAACCTAATTACCCAAGAAGGCAGTCTCCGCTAGACAGCCTCATTTCTGGAACCAGTAGGCACTTTCTATTTAACTGGCCATTATTACAGCCTTAGAGTTATTAGCTAATCTACTGAACCCATACCTAGATATGAAAATAAATAAATAAATAATAATACTCACCTCACAAGGTTGTCCAGAGTTTCACAGATAATATATATAAGGCACCTAACAAAAAGTAAGCATTCAATAATGAAGTTAGTTTTTATTTTTATTTTTTTAAAACTTGGTGTCTCGGTTTCCTCACTTTAAAATGGGCCTAACACCAGTACTTATTTCACAGGATTGTTTTAAGAATCAAATAAGTTAGTGTACATAAAGAGCTAAGAAGAGTGTGTAGCACATAGTAAGTGCTATTTAACTTTTAGGCCTTATTATTAATGAATGTATTTCGATAGGCAAATCTTTTAAAACATAGAGCCCATGGTAAACCTGTTGCCGTCGAGTTGATTCTAACTCATAGTGACTCTACAGGACAGAGTAGAACTGCCCCAAAGGAGCAGCTGGTGGATTTGAACTGCTGGCCTTTCGGTTAGTAGCTGAGGAATGTGTAGAAACTACTGCGTTAACAGGCTACTAATACTAAGATGGTTTACATATCACCAAGTTTAAATAGATGAGTAAATGAGAAACAACAACAAAAGAACAAACAATTTTGAGATCAAGAAATATTTATCTTCATTTTCCAGTCTCCAGGCATCATTTGAGATGTATGCACTTAGTTATAATCAATGCAGCTCAATAATACAAAAAAAAAAATCAGAAATACAATAATAAAATTTACAAGAAATCGAAGTAAGGAAGATACTCATGGCAATTCAAATTATAAGTTGTTACTTTGGGATTTAGTAAATAAAACAAACAAAAGGTAACAACAACAACAAACTATCCCAGAATCTTTCCCATGCCTATAGTTACAAAGCATTTGGTACAGCATCCCTAATTCTCCCCATCCCCAAAGCTAGCAAATGGTACTATACAAGCCCTGAAAATGTTTAACATTACTATGTGTACTATCTTTTTAACATGTATTTGTATTTTAAGATTTTTTTTTCTTTAAAGATACCATTTTCAAAGACAAATTAATATCTACTCCCAAGGAACAAAATCTTCCAGTTCCAGGCACACACCACTGACAGCAATAAAACTTTGAAAAGCTCAAATAACCTCAAAGGAGAACTGCTGATTAGCTCTGGTGCACAACAGATCTCATGGAACTGAAGTAATTAAAGTTTTTAGATAAGAGGAAATATCGTAATAATGTAAAGCTTTATTATTTGTCATGCACTAGAACGTGCAGCCTATAATTAACCACATCCCACATGAGAAATTACACTTTCACAGCAGCTTTTGCATAACTTTTGTAAATCGTAAAGCTTTTAAAAAGTGACAAATCTTGTTAAGAATGCAGTGAAGTCCCATATTATATGAGTTTAACTCAGTTTGGTTCCACTTGCCTCTAAGGATGAGATAGCTATATTTAAGTCTTTAAAAGTACAGAGATGTTCGTCTTCTCAAAGAGCTTTAGAGTGATACATGAAATACAGAAAGGGGAACTGTTTCTTACTAGGCTTCATTATTAAAAAAACAAACCCCTTGCCGTCAAGTAGATTCCAACACATAGCAACCCTATAGGACAGAGCAGAACTGCCCCATAGGGTTTCCAAGACTATAAATCCATACAGAAGCAGACTGCCACATCTTTCTCCTGCACAGCAGCTGCTGGGCTCGACCCTTTGACCCTTCGGTTAGCTGCATAGAGCTAATCTCCAAATCAGTGTTTCATAATTAAAAGAAGAAATAATAAAAATAGTGTCACTGTAACAATTTTAGGTAAATAAAGAATTTTAAGGCTATATAGCATTACATTAGATATAGGGGTTGGTGTCATGGTCAAAGAGATGTCATCTTATAATCCATCATTAGAAATCATATACCTCAAATTTTTTTAGAGAAAGTCTCTATTTAAGTAGTTACTGACAACCATTAGATTATTTTTTTAATGAACAATAAGAGGTCAACACCTCATATAAATATGACCATAATTTCTAAATGCTTTGGAAGAAAAAAGTTTAGGCTGAGAAATAAAATAAGCTTGCTTCAGGTAACAACAGCAAACATATCCATAATCCAAAAGCCTGACATGAATCAAACCAGGTACTGAAAAGTTGAATTCTTCACTTATGATCTAGCTGCAAAGAATCTCAAACTGTAAGTCTATTTTCAAAGACCACCAAAACTCAAATGGGGCAACAATGATTTTACTCAGATTATCACCACTGAACAATATTCAACTGTTTTTATATAAGGTCCCTGGTTGGTGAAACAGTTTGCCCTCGACTACTAACAGAAAGGTTGGTGGTTTGAACTTAGTCAGCAGTGCCACAGAAGAAAGGCCAGATGATTACTTCTGTAAAGATTTTAGCCAAGAAAACTCAATGCAGCTCAATTCTACTCTAAAACATATGGGGTTGCCAAGAGTCAGAATTAACCTAAGAGCAATGGATTTGCCTATTTGTTTAACTGTTTGTTTGGTACTCTGTAAGAGGAAAACCTGGTGGCTTTGAGAATTTTCATAACGATTTCCCTCTATAACAAAATACTATGCTCTATCTCATTAGATCATTTTGAGAATTAAAAAAGACAATGTAAAAAAAAAAAAAGATAATATACATAAAATGCTAAGCTCAGTGCTTGGAACACAGCAAACCCTTATTAAGCAGTAAAGCTATTGCAGCTATTGTTTTCCACACTGCACGAAAATCAAGCACTTATTATTTCTTGATAATAGATACCAATCAAGTCACTAAAAAAAAATCTGTCTTTACTTGAATTTGTAGATAAGAACCAAATACTTAAAAGCTGATCAGCAAAAATACCAGAACAAGTAACTCACTACCCCATTAACCCTTTATTTCTCTAAGATTCATCATAAAATTGATTTATTAAAAATGGCATTTTTTGCAAATTAAAACCACAATGAGATACCATCTCACCCCGGCATTACTGGCACGAATCAAAAACACTGGAAATAACAAATGTTGGAGAGGATGCAGGGAGATC